AGGACAGGTTCAGGTGGCAGAAGAACCTGAGGTAGGCAATCTTTGTAGAACTGGACACGACCTGGTGCTTTCAGAAACAGTTTTTTTTCCCTCTTGCAATGAAATCGTTAACAACTGTAAACTGTGCGCTTATTTTTTCTGCAATACGGTGTAATCCGTGCGCTAAACAGGTTACGCGTATAAGATTTGGATAAAATATTTGTAAGGCCTTTGCTGCTTTCAGCCTATAGGAAGCTTCACCTGTGAGTAAAACAAGCACCTTATAACAACTATTCTCAGTTTCAGATGGCCATAGTAGTCGCAGTAGTCGCAGAAAATCATTTACAAATATTGCTATTGTGCTATGGTTGGTTTTCTCCAGTACTTTGCAAGCAAGAAAATGGGGGTTGCCGGGTTCGTCTGGATGTAGCTTACCAACTACGAAATTTGCTATGTATCGGCCACATAAATCGGTTGTCTCATCCACCGATATCCAGACACAGTTCCCTCCGATGTCAGAACGGATTGACTCCAGAGTAGATTCATACAGCAAAGGTAGATAATTTTTTCTAAGAGTTGATTCATCTGGGATTTTTTTAATTACACAATATTTCTCCATCATCAAGGATTGGGATCATGTCAGCAGAGATTCGGTGGTCTGCACATCTACAATTGAGTCAAAAGCGGCCATGACAAGAAGGAAAAGGTACCTAAAAAGGAAGGTAGCCTCAGCAAACTCTTCAGCTGGGTCAGAAGGAAACCAGCGGATACGAACACTGTACCCGTTCCAGATGATATAGTAACTCCAAAGAAAGAGCCCCAGTCTGACGTGTAAGAGATGTCCAAGTGTTCTTGTCAGCATCCTGCTATTTAAATTGTTCAGTCTCTGAACCGAATTTAAGTTCAAAGACCAAGTTTCAAAAGTACAAAAAACCACAAGGGAAATTGAATTTCCATATATTCTAATCCCCCGCGTTGGTGTCTCCTTATCGTGGTGAGGGGGTTTGAGTATGCCAAGGACCCTGAGAACTATACCAGCGGTAGTGTAGCTACTGGCAGGGCCTCCCTTGCAGGACAGGTCAAAGGGTAGGCATCAGACGAAGAGAGACACCAAAAACAGATGCCGGAAGCAAAGTCATCAGCAGCGACTTGACGCACAGAGCCAATGATGCTCGAGATGGTTCAAGTTCATATAGCAACAGGCGTGTCCAGAGTGGTTTGAATGGCTGTTGTACTGCGAAGTGGAAAGCAAATGCAAAAACTACCATATTATCGCTTTTCCTGGATAGTCACTTTCCAGAAACAGAGATACCATGTATGCAGGATGTTTCCTCTGCAGACAAAACAATCCGGAGGTAAACTACTCCCCCAATCAGATCTCTGGGGGGAGTGTTTCTAGAGGAAATGTCATGCAGGCGTTACAACAAGACAAAGTGCGAAGATCAGAAGGAACATCACGGCTACAAGATTGTAACATGGAATGTAAGGACCTTGAATCAAGAAGGGAAATGGGAGAATTTGAAAACGGAAATGCAGAAGAATGAGGTGTCTGTTTTAGGTGTCAGCGAAGTGTGGTGAAAAGAACAAGGTGAAATAAGAAGTGGTGATTATACAATGCATTATTCTGGAGGTGAACGGGCTGAAAGAGGTGTGGCAATATTGGTGCATAAAAGTGTAGTGAGGAGTGTTGTTAAGAAGATCGTTTGTAATGACAGAATTATTGCTCTGAAGTTAAAGGCGGAACCGGTAGATATACTGATTATGCAAGTGTACATGCCAACATCAGAGTATGAAGATGATGAAGTGGAAAAATTATATGACATAATTTAAGAAATTCTTCAGGAAGATGGAAGAAGTGACACAAACAGCACCATATTTGGAGACTGGAATAGCATTCTTGGAGATGAACCATATCAGAATATTGTTGGATCACATGGAATAGGAAGACGGAATCACAGGGGTCAAATGCTTCTTGACTTTTGTGAACGAAATCGACAGATTATTACCAATACTTGGTTCAAGAAGCCAAAGAGAAAAATTTACGCATGGAAGGCACATGGGGATTGGAGGAGGCATCAGCTTGACTACATCCTTGTGAAACATCGATTCAGAAACAGTGTGAAGGATGTGAAGACGCTGCCTGAGGCAGATATTGACTCTGACCACAACTTACTGGTTCTCAAGTTCTGAACCAGGTCGAAGAAAATTATAAGATTTCAAAAGCGCAGACCTAGATGGGATTTAGAGAAGTTATATGCTCAAAGACAAAGCGTGCAGGAGACCCTAGAAGAGAAACTCGGTGCAATTGAAAGTGAAAGCAGAAATGCTGAAGTGCAGTGGAACAATATAAAAGAATGCATGTTAGATACTATTAGCGAATTGGTTGGTAAAGTTAAGGAGATAGCAAGAAAACCAGGGGTTACACAGGAGATGATGAGTAAAATG